CCCTTCTGAATATATATCAGTGTTATTACTCATTGAAACCATTATTTTCATTTATTTTATTGTTTAAAGTCTATAAATAAAAAATGATTCCCAATTTAAAAATATTTGAAACTTTAAAGTATATATGATAGTTTTTCGTTTAATTGCTACAACTTCAGCTAACTATTATGTTTACACACACTGATGGTATACACATACTAAAGTAGATATACTTGGTCAAAGTTATTATGATAAAGATAAAAGATATTTTAAATACTTTTATCTTTATCAAAATTTAATTAAAAAATTCACATCAAATAAATATGTCGATTGAAAAGACGAAGGATGTGAATCGTTACCTGATGATGCCAAAATCCAAAACGAATTGCCCGACTATTATCATGTTATATATGAATATTATGATCGTATTGATTGTAAATTTAGTGAAGGTGATGTTTATCCCAATGAAGTGTTATTTGATCGATGCACAAAATATTTGGACGGGTCTACTGAACATGCTGAAATAACATATCATAAACTTAAAATATCGTTTTATAAATTAAAAAATTGTACTAGTGGTTAATGATATCGAACCCAAAAAAATATTGAACTGAATAAATGCATAGATTTTAATGGCGAACATCGCATTGTTTCGAAAAGTGTAAATGAAATTATTCCTGATAGTGCTTTTGAATTATTTGCATTTTTTGGTCTTTTTATAATGTTTTTGTTTTAAACGTTAAAACAATTTACTTTTGTTGTTGTGTTTTAAATTGTTTGTATATCGTTGTCAATGTTTATATCATTTGTTTACAATCATTTAATATTTTTACTTAAAGTTAACTGCACTTAATTTAAATTCAGCAAATAAAATTTTCGCATATGAAAAATTATGTAAATATTAGTTAAAATAAAACTACCGTTCAATAATTGAAGTAATTGTTAAAATATAAACATTTTTTCTTGTAATTGTAAGTGTTTTCAAATTTGTATTTTTCGTCATTAATATTCCACATAAATATTAACTTAGTAAATTAATTAATTTAACAATAATTTTTCATTAACATTTTTATATAATTGCATACATTTGACAATTATAACATTTAAAAAATAAACATATGTTATATGTGTTGATTTTAAATAAAATAATAATCAACCTTTATGTTGTAATTATAAAAACTATACATTGATACAATACCTTTCGAAGATAACAAAAAATTGATAATCATTTAAATTATTGAGGTCCATTGATTAATTTTGCTATATTTCTTTTTGTCCCTTTGATTGTCTCGATTTTGGTGTTCGCTGTTATACTTTCAAAACTCGATTTTTGGTGTTTTAAAAGCTTTGCAGAGTTTATAAATAAATTCTTTACTTCTACACAATCAAATTCGATGTTTTCTGCGTTACCCATTGTAATTTCTTCATAACAACCACATTTAAACTTGATATTTTTTACATCCCCAAACTTAGCAGTAATTTTGTCCTTTCTTTTATAAATTTGACTTACCATGACTTCGTCAAAATCTTCACTTGACAAGTCAAAATCACATGGACTACTAATCTCGATGTTACCAGCCGAAAACTCAACTCTTTTTGCTTTAAATTTACATCTGTGTTTTCCAAGTTTTTCAACATCAAATGTCACTTCTTGTGTGTCTTGATACACATCAAAGATAGTGTATTTCTTGAAGTCGACAATAAATGTGTTCGTCGGTTTGTCATCTCGCACAAATTTAACACAATTCAACGAGTTAAAACACTCAAATTCAGTCAAGTTTTCATCATTAACAAGCAGAGAACTTCCTTTGTAATTCAAGACGTAAATTTTTGTCAGTTTCAATTTGTCAATTTTCAGGTTTCCAGTCACTTCGTCGACTTTCAATTTTTCCAATTTGAGTGGAAGAGCCAATTCTGTGACATTCACATTCTTCAAAGAGACCACCCGAATATTTTCTGAATCTAAAAAATTTAAATTAACATCCACATAATATTTATTTGGATCGTCTTGATACCCATTGCCATCCCAAATCTGACGTTTGGGTGGTTGAAACACTTTAATTCCACTACAAAAAGAGTTTTTAACCGCATTTTCAATAATTTCCTCGTGACCATTCATATTGGGCATTACCTTCACAAGTCGTCCAAAATCATTAAATTGTTCCTCTGTTGTGCAGAAGTCTGGAATGTACTTCATTCCTATCGTTTCTTTGGCAAGAAATTGCACATAGAAATCTACGTTGTCGATATGTGTTATCGTTTTGAGTATATCAAGTGGGTTGGTATCATTTCTAGTAACGTTTATGTAAAAGAAAATAACTATCACAAATTTCACATCTTTTTTACTTGAAAAATCGATTGAGAGCAAATCGTTCAATTCTTCAATTGAAATCAAAGCAGTCACTTTTTGAAGAGACTTGATGTCGAAAAATTTTTTCAATTTCAGACTTTCTTTGTCATCTTCCATACCTTTTAAACATGATTCAAACCCAACATAAAACGTTTTAGAAAAATCTAAAAATGCGTCTTTCAAATTTTCATACAACTCCCCATATTTTCCAACGGCTAAAACTTCATTGGAAGATAATCGAATTTTTCTGACCTTTGGAGGAAACCATTTGGTCTTGAGTGTATTTTCCATTTTCGATGATGGATCTTTGCGTGACGTTACAAGAGAATTGTTGACTTCTATTAGAGGGATGTCATCACTTGAAAATTTTCTTGGACAATAAGAAAGGGCGTTGAAATATAAAGTCTGCAGATTTGGGAAGAAATAAATGATATCTTCAATGGCAACTGTCTGACTTAATTTGTATGTGTTAATATACATTGTCTGCACTGCTTCATAACAGGATTTATTAATTAACATAAAGTTTGTAACATCTTCTAGAGTGTCAAAATATAATATGACGTTTTTCATAAAAATTTGTTGGAGACATGTCATGTTTTGAAATATTAAAGTTTTTGTTTAAATCTTTATATTTTTCGAATTTTAGAGGTTTGTATACAAAAATAACTATTTAATAAAAATAATATAAACTTCTATAATTCATTATAATCAAAATTTTATTGATAATAACAAATATATTAATTATGATATATTTGTTATATATATAATTTTTATAATTTACATTTAACTATCTAATTATTCTAATTAAATAAACTAGATTTGATAAAACAATTCATTTAAAAAAATTATTTAAATAAAACTGTCTTAAAAGACTGTACAATCAAAGGCGTCTATATGTAGTAATTATAATTGTTGAACTTGCATAATTGTTGCACAACTTGTTAAAAATTTGTAATGTACCACAATTAAATATTTTGTTCTTGAATCTGTATTTTTTATGTTGAATAAAAAACCAAATTATTAATAGAGTTTGTTGTAAAACGTTGTCCCAGTCGCCAACGTTGTCCTTTTTATCAATTTATACACAAATATTTGTTTAAAACCCCGGGAATTAGGTAAAAATTGAAAAAATTGGAAAAAAACTAAAACGACGTTTTTTTTATATTTCGAATATTTTCCAATTTTCATTGACCAAAAAGCCCAGGACAACGTTGGCGACGGGACAACGTTTTCTGACTAACTCTATAAGATAAATTTCTTTATTAAAAAAATTCCCAAAATCCACTTATTTACGACAAATAAATAAGTTTTTTATTGAATTCACAACAAATAGAAGCCTTCGAAATATAAACATTATTTTGTTTATAATATTTTCAAATTAGATAGAAATGCTTTTTCTTAATTAAATAATAATAAATAATAAAATTACAACAAAAAGTATAATACAATTAATTTAACATTAAAATTATAAAGTTTTTTTCAAAACACTTTTTTTCATAAAAACTATACCATATTAATAATAATATAAATTTTTATATGAATATTATAAATCAAAAAACCATTTTTATCAACAACAATTTTTTATATTTGAACTGATAATGTTTGAATTAAAAATAGTTAAAAACCCTTCAACTTAAATTAAAGAGCAAAGAGTAAAGCGAATAGTGTCATCATAATAACCATAGCAACACTTCCTTCACTTGGTGGGACGTAATCTTTGCAATGTCCTTCAGAATCGGCCAAGTATTTGATATCATCGACTATTGAATCTTTGCACACAATGCACTTGTAGTCATCGTTTCTGACAGAACACGTTTCGACGGAGATACATAAATTATTGTCGAATTTATATCCGTTCTCACATTGTTTACAAGTGTGATCTTTGTTGAACAACATGCAATTATCAATGTGTTCTATTTCAAGGCATTCAGTCGCACTTTTAGCACATTGCTCATCACATTTTGCGTCACATTTTTGGCATTGGTATTTGTCGTCAATGTAATACCCGTCTTCACACATAACACATTTCCCCGGTCTGGTAGTGTCAAAAGTTTCACAATGAGTAATAACAACACATTTATTATCAGCACCTCCCATATCTGTATATTCACAAACAGTTTCACATTCACCACATTTGTCTTCAGCTGTAGTTGTATCAGCATTGAATGTTTCACATTGTCCAGTGCACGAAACACACTTATTTTCTTTTGAAAGGTAAAACCCAGATGGACATGACTCACATGCGGTCTCGGAATTTCCTGCGGTACAAGTTTTACATGAAGTGTGGCATTTATCACACGTCTTTTTGCCTTCATTGTGTACATATCCCTCATTACATGTAAGGCAACTTTCCGAGTTTGAAGAATCACATGTTTGGCAACCTTCATGACATTTCACACAAGCGCCATTATTCAAAGCATATCCAGCGTTGCATTTTGTACACGTGTCTGGTTTTGAAGAATCGCACGTCAAACAATTATCGGGGCATTTGTAACACTTTTTATTTGTAGCATCCAATTTATAAGTGGGAATACAATTGGTACACTCATTTGGTAAGTCGGTGTTACAAGCTTCGCATCCCGTTCCACACTTGCCACAGATCTTGTTTTGGACTCCATACTCTGAAGTGCATTTTTGGCATTCAGTAGCATGTGTCTCTTCAACACATTGAAGGCATTTATCAATACATTTATAGCATTGTTGTGATGATGCAGTTTTTGTATATCCAGTAGCACTGTCACAAACATCACATTTATTGGGTTCACCATTAACACATGTTGTGCATCCTTCTACAGCACATTTTACACAATCTTCTCCAACTTTGGTGTATCCAGCGGCACAATTGGTGCATTTTGTGGCATCATCATTACATCTTGCACAATTCTTCTTTTCACAATTGGTGCAATTGCCTTCCTTGAGACCATAGCCATCCAAACATTCAGTACATTTGGTATTATCCACCTTTATACAGAAAGGTCGGTACTCGCATTTCTTACCAACTAATTTAAATTTCCACTCACATTTGTCGCATTCGTCTTTAGAGCTGTATTCGATACAATGTTCCAAAGTTCCTAAAACACAGTTTTTGTTAGTATCTGGGTAATACCCATAAATGCATTTAGTGCATTTCATCTTTTCTGTGGTATCTTGAATGGCACAGTTTGGAACTCTGACGCATTTTCCAGCTTCTAAATTGTATCCAGAACCACAAGTTTTACATGTTGCACAATCGGGGTCAGCATCTACACAACCTTTGTTTTGATCGGTACAATTTTTACAAGACGTGTCTTTAATATTGGTCAATAAGTTACAACTGTCACATGTTAAATCTTGTGGAGCAACACCGGATATACAATATTCATCACCGGCGATACACGTCTTCTTTTCAGCGTCTCTCATATATCCATCGGCACATTCAATGCATTTGTTTTCGGAAGTGTACGCTTCACAGCCAATGTCTCTTTTGAAAACGCATGTCTTGTCGCTTTGTAATATGTAATTCGCAATGCAAGCAGTACATTCATTTCCAACTACTGTCTTACAATAAGAGCCGGTGTACTCGGAACTGACCATTAAGATCATTGTAAAATATAACAGCGAATTCATTTGATGAATTATAGTTTTGTAATTATCTTTTTATACCCATTTTTTTAAATTAAATTGTATTCTAACCATAATTGGATACATGTTTCCATTTATTAATTTATTATTAAAACAACTTTTTGTTAACACCAAATTTTATTCATTCATTGGAAATAAACGAACTTTGAAAAAAAATCCATATTGTGACAAAACTTTAACTCATTTTTATAAGTTTATGTTTAAAATATCATTGAAGTAAATAAAAATAAAATTGTATGTAAAAAAAGGTTTTAGATTTTTGAATTTTATATTATTTTTTTTAATAATATAATACTATGTTCAATATTTATAACATAGAACTGACTATTAAAAACAATCAAAACTAATTTAATTGTTTCCCAAATCAAAGTGTTTTATAAATTATCACAAAAAACTATTAATAATAATAAAAAGTTCAAAATAATTTGTGACAAACTAATTTCCATTCATAAAAAATGGAATTTAATGAAATTATTTACAATTTGAAATAATTTTATTTTGTGGATGTCATAGTTATTAACGTGTTATAAATATATTATTTTTATTATTATTATAGAGCTATACTTTTTAATTTAAGTCGTGATATTTAATTCAAAATGTTATTTCATTACAACACACGACTTTTTAATAAAAAACTTTGAATGTTGTTTACGTTGAAAAAACTTTATAAACTGATATTTTTACTTTTATTAAAAAAATTATTAATTTTATAACAAATATTATAATAAATTGAAAATAACAATAAACACGTGTGTATCAGTTAATGTTATTATCAAAAAAAACAACTAACCAGTTTTGAAATACTTATAATAATATATTTATTTTAATTTTTAAAAATAATTTTTTATAATAACTATTTTATATTTATATATTTAAACATACTTGACGATTAAAAACTCATCGTTTTTTTGCAAATAAAAATAACATTTTATTCAATTTTTTAATGAACAAAACTGTTTTCTTTGTCTAAAATGTTCATTTGTGTTTATAAACAATTGATTAATATTTTTAGTTCAACACAGTTTTGTGGTTAAATTATAAAAACAGCTATGAATGAACAAATAATTAATCAAACTGAATATAATAATTAGTTTTGATATTTTTTTCAAATCGAATACAAAAAACATCTTACCATAATTCGTTGTTATTGGGTTTGTGGTTCAAAAATCCAATAGCATTAGAAACAAATCCAAAATTGTTTTTGACTTTACACATCGGTTCACTTTCGATTCTAGAAAACGCTTCTAATATGTTCATGATAAAACCACACCCTACTGATTTTTTCACTTTAAAGACAGTAACAAATGCACGTTTTTTTTCTAATTCACATTTTCATTTGTTTTGCCATGAAGAAATATATTGATGCTTTTTATGTGCATCGCGACAATTTGTTTTTTTCACAAAATATGACACTCTTCTAAATTTTCATAATTCATTTGGTTTATTAATATGATTAAAACAACACTGTACCCTTTAAAATTAATTTCAAAGTATCTCATCATTTTGATTAAAGTTTTTTTTAGTTATTATTACTCACAACCAAATTATCTATTATATTAAATGCAGTAAAACAATAAGAAACGTATCCAATGTTTCAAAGTTGTATATATTTTCTGTAATAATCCGATTTTCTACTTCAAAGCAATCAATCATTAAAAAATCGATTCATTAAATATTTTGTTGGTTGAATTAAATTAACTTAATAGTGTTGGTTCATTACCAAAAACCTTCTCGAGTTTAAGTGTTGTATAATAAATGTTTAATTTTGCCATATTCGATGTATAGATTTCCACTGCTCCTAATTTCATTTGCAATTCTTTAATTTTCGTCTTGACATTAATATGTCTTTGGTGCAATTAATTACACATTTTAAAATCTTTGCATTACAACACAATTACTTTTCTGAGTGCATCGATTTTATTTGTTAATTGGAATTATTGTACATCCTTACAGAAAAACGATTGAATCGGAGTATTTGAATCACCTACAATACAAATGTCTTCTAATAAAAAAACGTGTAGACTGGCGGTTTATAGTTGACACAATTCTCATCTAACATGACGTTGTTGTACTCTATTATGGACAACTTTTTGACACACATAAAAATTGTTAACTTCAATTGGTGACTGTATCGAGAAGTACATATTTGACAGTCAACACATTTATTGTAAATTTAAGTCATTTTATTTAACCACAAACGACTCAAAATATATGTAACTATGCATCTTTATATATCCTTAACTTTATATTTGTATATATTGTTCACTTGCTGTTAAACTTAAGGAGATGGATAGCCTTTATTTACAATGTGATCTTAACACGTTTTGTATTATGATAGATCCATCTTATTATGCATTGCACCTATACCGTAGAATATCCTTCATTATCTCCGATTAGAGTGTGGCCTTGTATTTAATAATATTTCACTCGTTTAAACAAATCATTCATTGTGAGTGAATTATTTTTTGTCAAGTTTAATTAAAACACGTGAAAAAAATAATTATTATTTTGACGAACTTTTATTTTTTTGATGATTATATTATATTATATTATATTATATTATATTATATTATATTATATTATATTATATTATATTATATTATATTATATTATATTATATTATATTATATTATATTATATTATATTATATTATATTATATTATATTATATTATATTATATTATATTATATTATATTATATTATATTATATTATATTATATTATATTATATTATATTATATTATATTATATTATATTATATTATATTTTGAACAGTAAAACCTCCCAAGAGCGGAAGGGTGTAGTGATTTTGTTTTTTCAAGAGCGGGCATTTTTAGCCAATTAAACCTTAATTACCGCTCGATAGAGAACTCCATGTTTAGTTTTAGTCTAAAAAATGCTTGCTCTCGAATCAACCCGCTTTACAGAGGAACCGCTCTTGGAAGGTTTTACTGTAATGGCTATTAAAAACTGAATGAAGGAAACTGTATTAAATAATATCAACAATTATTTCGTTAATTTACCGAAAATGAATTAATTTTTAACTCAAGTTTTTAAATACATATTTATAAGTTAACCTCATAAATTGTTAATAACTCAAAATCTAAAATAAAATAATTGACAAAATTTAAATTTCATAAAAATGCGACTTGAGAGAGTATATCTCATGAATGTTGTACTCTATATGGATTTAGAATCTATTGAACGGTTTATTTGTGTCAACAAGTTATGTCTCGATGCTGTGAAGTCGTTATACACAATTCCATACTTTATAAAATGCGATGAAAAAACATCAAATAAAATGTCGAAGCTTTTTCCAAAAGTAGAAACCATTGTCATTTGCAATAACACTTTTAGTAAATCTTTTTCTATTGATAATTTAATAAATCTTTTCCCAAATTTGAAAGCACTTAATTATGTACGAAGTAGTTCTTGTTGCGATCAAAGTAATGACATTAAAATATTACCATTTGTGAATGAATTATCAATTGAAGACTGTGACACTTTTATTGGTGAGAATGTTGCAATGCTCACAAAATTGAAATGTTTATCCATAACACATGATTCGTATTACGGCGACAGTAATTTTCAGAGAAATTTGTTTGCATTAAATACCCTCCGCGAAGTTACTTTATACCACACAATAAGTCAGATCTTATCACTTAAAGAAGACATTGTTAATTTACTGAAAAATAACATCAAAGTCACTCTGTTCGTGGAATGTAATGACGCTTCTTGTTTCTACGATATGTATTACTTAAATGATGAAAATGATGTGAAAGAAATCAACGAATTTTACAACCAGAACAAGTGCAATCCACTGTTATCTATGTATAATATGCATGATGATAATCAGTTAGAAATGCCTTCATTGCCATCTGAAAGTATTTTTATGATGCATGCTGTTAATGAAAATGACAGTGAAATGATATGTAAAATGGTCAACGACATGCAACTTCGTAAATTGTCTATAGACTGTAATGAGGCTATCAAAGATAATCAAGAATTTACACTTGATTTGAGAAAAGCAACAACATTAGAAGTAATAAGTATAACAAGGTTTGGGGGTAAATTGTCGATACCAGATTCTATAAAAAGTATTTCAGTTAATTTTATAGATGCAACAATCGAAACCAATAACGCTAAAATAGAAGATATGCGGATTAAATGTTGTAAAGCAAATGGATTGAGAGTGGAAGAAGGCGTGTTAAAAAAGGTGTATTTTTGGCACGAAGGACTAGGTTTCACTTTTGTTCACAATGGCATTGAATTGAAAAATACACTTTACATTGATAATATTGATTTCGATTACAGTCAGTTGGACAAACCAGAAAAACTAAAAGTGTTTAAAGATGGAAAACAAATAGTTTTGAAAAAAGAGGATTAAGTTGATTTATTTAAAAGTTTTTTGTTATTATTCGATGAAATATTAAATATTTGAAGTGATAACAAATCATTTGAAGTGTTTAAATTAATATATTTAAATGATTATCTTTAAATATCAATATTTTTAATGAAGTATTTTAATGTAAGGTATATTATTATTTATCATTATATTTAAAAAAACACTGAATTGGTTCTTCATTAATGTTTAATACATTTTAAACAACCAACTAATTTACATATATGTTTAACAGTAATACCACATTTCAATTGTTAAAACTATTATAAATCCAATGCATTTCTTTTGGGTAATAACTATTATTTAAGTTTTAATAAAACATTTAAATAAAGTTTCTAACAACAAAAAATTTTCATATTTGATATAAAAAACTTTGAAACTGTGACTTTATCCAAAATATTTACTTCATTTTTTATTATCTGTCATCGGTTAAGATGGAATCAAAATCATTTCTTATAAACAAAAAATAATGTTGAATCAAAATTATTTAACTTGTTTTTTATTGTTATATAACATTTGAATATATTTTGACATATTTTAAACGGTTATAATCACTTATTGAAATGTAACACAAAAAAGTTATTAAACTAATCATTATATTTTAATGAGGATACTTATTGATAAACAAACGAACTGACTAGAAATAGCTTAGTATCGTTATTTGACTGACATTAAATGGCTGTATTTTTGTTTCAAAAAAGAATAATGCAAAACTCAGAAAAATAAAAAATAAAATCATGTAATTGTTTTTTAAATATGTTACTGAAATTATTTAATTGGTTAAATCAAAAATGTATCAGATAACGTTATTGAACATACACATTTGTTAGACTAACTCTAAAATTTATAAAAATATAAATAATTATTAGATAATATACATTATTATTTACCTTTTATTATTTCTTTCTCGTGTTTTATTAGAAAAAAAAATATATATTATTTATTATAAAATAAAATATTTATTAAAATAATTAATTAAAGATTTTTTTGTCAAACCACAACTCATTTAAAACAAACTTTTTTATTTTAACATATATAACTAAAATAATAAGGAATGACGTTAATTGAATTTTATTACAATTTATGTGTAATTAAAACCAAATTTGACCAATAACTTGGTTAATGATTTGTATCTGGTTGTCGAATTGTAATAGAGAACAGACATATTAATTTTAACAAACGACCACATAATTGCATTACATTATCATATTTTGTTTATATTAAATATTTATAACAACAAATTTGTTGATTTTTAAACAATTAATTATATTTTACATATGTCACATTTAACTTGAAATGTTTTAACTTATTATATTGATCAAACTTCTTTATTATCAAAGTTTTATAGCTTTTATTATAAAAATGTAATTTTATTTTTTTTTTCAAATTCGGAAATTATTTTGATTACTTTTAAAAACAAATAACGTTCGGTAATAAATTATAGATGGACAGTTACTAAAAATAAATATTATAATTGTTTTAATTGGTACCTATTTTACATAAATTTTTATTCAAAACGCTTCAAGAAAATATCAAAACAAATTAACTCCTTTAGTATTGTTTTTAAATGTTTTTTGTTAGACTTTACTCATTCATTAATTAATATATTCTATATAGTAATTTAAAATAATATTAATTGATACGAAATTGTTTTTGTTTTCCAATAACTGTATTTTTGTCAACACATTATTTAATCATTAAATTATATTATTATAATAATAACTATAATTAATACCAAATTAAAGAAAGTTAACTGGTGTCTTTTTAAGAAATACAATTCTGGATAATTGATTCAAAACATTCTAAAAACTTTTTTAAATTAAGAAAAAGTCCACGAAGTTATCTTTTTAATTAATATATCAACAATTATAACAAAATAACTTCTCTTAATTAAAAATTCAAGTTTTTAATTATTAATAATTGAACCTGTATAATTTCATTTCTAACTTATTTTTTATATTTGAAAACGGAAACTTCTAAATTAATTAATTTTGATTGTTTTTACAATAAATATCAAATACTGCATATGTAATAGTATATTTAATCATCTGGTTGTCTTTTACCAGCAAAAATAAAATGAAATGAACCTGATGTAGATCAACCCCAAATAACGTAAAAATGTTTCCATATGCAATAGAATAACCAAAAATAGTAAACTTACTTAAAATAGTATAAAAGTCCTCAAAAAATCCATCTAAAACAAATAAACAATGATATCATTGATTATCCTTTTTATTGTGCCCCATACATATGGAGTAAACTCTCAAGTGTTAACAACTCAAGTAGAATCACTTTGTATGACCGATTTTGTTGTTGTTAACATGAATTCTCCAGAAGTGAATATCAGAAACTACACGTTGTGTTACAACAGAATACCAAACTATGAAATTAATGTTCATGGATATAATATTAAGTCACTTTGCTTTGTCCATCCCGATTATTTAATCGTTAACAAGAGCACTTTATTTCTTAATAGATGTGGGGAATGGCTTCAAATAATAGGACCAAGTGAAAACATCGTTAATTGTATGGTAGCAGGATCTGCGGATATTGGAACAGCAGATTCTACTTTAGCAATTGAAAGACGAACAATTGGAGTTTATTCTTTGTTATATAAACGTCTTACTTCCGGCGTTGATAACACTAAAAATTACTTAACACAAGTTACAATGTTTGAAGTTGCTTTTGACTTGGGAATACCTCCTTCTTTCTATGTGATTTATAGAAACGAAAGTAGTGTGACGATCCAATTTACAGACCACAACAGACCTCCTGAGAA